TACAGACTTTGCTGCAGCACTGGTACAAATTCGACAAAATTCTTTATTTACAAGAATAAGCGAAATAGGAATTTCGATGTACTTGAATATTTCTATAATTAATTCCGTGGGGAGGTGCTTCATATTAAAGGAAAGAAGAGAAAGAAGAGAAGAAAAAACAACATAATATCGATCAAATAATTACATGTATTTATAGCGCATAAAATTCGACAAAATTCCTAAAACGGCTTCTAAATTTGTACTAGTTATACACCGAAGCTTTCGCCTACCCAAATAAAAATGATCTGCAAAAATTTTCCGTTATGTTTTGTTTCAACATATTAATATTTAGTCCCACAAACCTTATTATTTTTGTTCAACAAGTCAAGTTAATTTTTAAAATAGAGTTTAAAAATGAAAATTGATTTTGCAGATGCAGATCATATTGATTATTACAAGCTATCCATCTATATTATTAAAAACAATTATTAAAAAAATCACATTATTAAAACAACAATTATTAAAAATCAATTATTAAATGACAATTATTAAAAAAAAACATTATTTAAAATTGACGATAAAAATTAAGTTTTATATTGGATTCAAATGATGTTTGTGTAGAGAGAATTGATATTGAAGTATCTTGAGAAATAGAATCAACCATTCCGATTTGAGGTAAAGTAGATGTTGAAGACTCTAAAACTTTTGGGAAATGCAAAAGCACTTGTGTTACTAAAAAATAAGTTGAGACATTTTAATTATGAAAAGAAATAAATTGGGAAAAAGTGAAAGGGAGATAAATGTTTTTAATGAATAAAATAACCTTTTTAATCACAGGGCGCTAGCCTACATGGGATAAATCACTGTTACATGGTTCCTCGTGGAATAACTATTATTTATCAAATTTTATAAATTTATTTATTATTTTTCTTTAAGTATTGTAATAATAATAAAAAAAATGACGAGGTATTAGGCGAACCGATAAATTGGCAATCTAAATTAAGAATAGTGCATCTTCTGGTAAAAAAAGATTGCTCTTTATTTACAAATACCTTGAAGGCATTATTGGACAAGTCAGGCTTGTTTATAAATACAGTCTTTCGAATCGTTATAACATCATTATAAGACTGTGCCATTATAGCTTCCAATGAATCCTCTCCATATTGATATAGGCTTTTTATTTAAGCTATAGTTACTCAAGAGCAGCATTACTTTTTACTTCAAAACTAAGATTTTCATCCACTTATTACCTTTATAAACTTGATGAGTGGTTGAAAAGATGGAAAATATTGTAAGCTTTCATATAGGCATAGCTTTGTG